AAATAAAATTAAAAACCTTTTGGTAAAATGTCAACTTGAGAAAAGATATATCGACTGTAGAAATTTTTTCTTAAGCAGAAATACCTAAATATTTTTGAATTAAAAAAATTATTTTGTTTCTACATATATGCTTGTATTGGCAATCATGCCAAAATATCATCTGAAAAAAAAGACTTGAGTATATTATAGAGATTTTCTACAAAAGAACTGTTATAGTGGCCTGTGGCTTTGAAATTAAGTTGGTCACATTGAATGATGTAGAGACAGAAGCAACCATTTTTTGTCACACAGATGTTTATCTTTTGTCTCTACAATATTCAGTGTTACCAAATTGATATCAAAATTGCAGCTCACTCTGATCTGAAAGTTAATTGAACGCATGATAGAATTATTATTATAATTTGCAAATTAAATTTTTAAATTTGTACGCTTGCATGATAGACACACTTTTTGATCGCACTGTATATCTTAAATATGTTTATTGAAATGCCATTATACATAACTTTTTAATTAAGCACTGAATGACTAAAAGAATTTTTGACTATTTAATTCTAATTTGAACGAAGCCATTACAATTGTTTTGGCGTCTAAACAAAATTTTATTTCTGATTTTTTTAATAAAATTTTTTGGTCAAAAAGTTTAATACAAATCTTGTGTTAACCATTTTATAGAGCCCAATTTTTATCAAATTAATTTCGTCCTCTAAATTGTTAGTTACCAAATGCAAATGTAAATCACTAGGAATAATTAATTAAAAAAACTTGATTTTTCAAAAAATTGGCTTTTATTTCTAATTCCTTATTGTGAGCAAAAAACTCATAATAGAGAGACAGCCTCTCGAGCAAAAATAGGAGCATCGTAAATCGATGTCAAAATGCAATAATGGGGCACCTTGATCATCAAATGAAAACTTGATTGCAGCGCTGTGTTCTGCAATAATGCCCCATAACAAACACAAGGGAGCAATGTTTGGGGTAATGTGACAATCATTGAATCAGCAGCAGCACAGGGACATAATCAGGTAATTATTGAATCTGGCTTTGATCGGCAACTTATTGGACACAAGGGAGACAACTCCCCGATTCTAGCTCTAGGCTATAACATTATCTCAGGGACGACCAGATCGACAATTATTGTTCGCTTTGAAACGCCACCACCAAAATAAATTAGTGCTTGCGGAGCAAAGACGTCTGTCGCGTCGTCAAAAAATCAAATTTAAGGTCAGTGCTGTAAGACGAGGGAGCTGTTTCGCAAATCAATGTTAAATCCGTGATGTTGACACAGTAAAGTCGTGCATTACGACAAGTAGTCCTATACAAACACTGCAGGATGTGCGTGCAAATAAAGAAGTGAGCTGTGCTCATATGTGACGATGTCAGTGGGTTTATCAAGGCAAACAGGTCTTGCCCTTAAAGTGGAGCACAAACCAAAGCAAAATTGCTCATTCTTCTATTTTTGCAACTTAATTAAAGGGAGAGTCTTTACGAAACAAGGCACTCGAATTCATGTCATTTCTTAATTAAATTTGTAAGCGTTTCTAGCACTAAGAAAGTGTTTCTAACAAAAAAGGTACTTTTCTGTTTTCGTGACCGTAGAACGTTAAGCATACTTGATTTTACCGCATCAAAATTATACAGGGTGAGTCATTAGTAAGGCGTTGCTTTTATTGTTTAGTTGACAAATCAGCATAGATTTAAGTCTTTTTACTCCAGGAACGTGCTAAGATTTTTTTGCAAAATTATAAATATACCTTTATTATTAACAATAGAAAAGTAAAGTTTTGCAGGTTGAAAAGTTAGGATTTTAAGTTTTTTTAAATTTACTTTTGTTATCCAAGATGCTAAGTGAAAGTGATCAAACTGTCAATTTTTATACTATGTCCTTTTGACACCCTATATTTTTTTTGTTATTATCACTTACTATAAAATTTTCTTTGTTTTAAAATAGTTTGTCTATAGTTTTTGAAATAACATTATAACGTTAGTCTAAAATATATCAAACGTCTACCTACTTCAATTTTCACAAGGAAAAAATGGCTAGAACAGTAAGCTAAAAATGCCGATACAAACTTATTTTGAAATTACTTTTTCACTAAATTTTTATCAATAAATAAAAAAATTACTGTAAATTTACTTAAGAAAATAATAGCTTACTATAAAATTTTGGTGTCGAAGAGAAAGAAACATCGAGACTTTGCTTGATTCAAGATTTCAAAATTTAAACACTTAAATGTACAAGATTATCTATTCAAAGCTAAGAGATTGTTTGAAAATTGCTAAACTTTATGTTATTTAAGAAAATATGAAAATGAGTATGTATTAGGTTATTAGGAGTAAAGGCGGTAATTTATGTGGCAAAGCTAAACGTTTATTTTGACGAACGTAGTGACCTACATAAACTCATTTTTACTCCGAATAACATATACTATTTTACCCGCATACGTACTCAGATCAATATAAAAAGCAAGTAAATGAATAAAATAATCAGAACGCTTTGTAAGTAATAAAAACATAACAATGTTTATAAAAAAAAATCACGCGTCAGTATCGGAATTTGTGTTGGAATTAAAAAAGAATTAAAAAAGTGGTTATTAATTTAACTAGTGCAGTTAGTAGTACAAAATGTCGAATGCTGATGATCTACAATGTATGTACTTCTCCAAAAATTGCTAAAGTAGCTGAAGAGACAACATTGGTAAATGTCATGGTAAAGTAAAAACACGCAGGCGCAAAGTTTTTACTCCACGGCTGAAAAAAAAAGCTTTACTTGTGACATTTAGTCATAAAAGTAGTCACTTTTGTGACGTTGGCGGATAAACAAATAAAAATTACTCCAAAAGCTTCCAATTCGAATGAGCAAACTTTTAGTTTTTTATTATTGAAAACAAAAATGCAAAAAAAATTAAGTTTATCAAAATTTTGCAAAAAATGTCATTAACTACAGAAACTTACAAAAGAAACACAATTTTACAACTTTTATCAAATCTTATTGTGGACACAATACCAGGTGAACAGAAAGTTTTTTGTGTAAACTAATATTTTTGAAAAATCTGATTGATAAATGATTATTGATGACTGAAAAACGACACATTTTTATAGTCCCGTGAGATCAAAAATGATCTTTGTCCAGGATGGTCATGGATTTTAAAATAATTGTTGTAGGTCGACGCTGTTAATGAGTCAAACATTGACAGAATTATTTCAAAACAATGATATAAGCAACCACAAACGTTTTCCATTCCATGACCACCTTTGAACAAGATAATTTTTTATCTTACGGTACTATAAAAATGTGTCGTTTGTCAAAAAAAAAATTTTCGAAACTTGTTTGTTCTTAAGTTTGAGAAATATTTTATTTTTTTAAATGGCACATTTTACAAATGCTGCGATCTAAAAACTACAACTATATATTTAAATTTTATTTCAATTTTTATACAAAGTGATACAAATATGTTGGACCAATGAATTCAAATTTTTGTTCCAGCTTTTTTTTGAAAAAAACAGGACTGTCAATTTCATCGTCATGTAGGCAACTTATTTTTTTTTGTTTCCGATGTTGTCACATTTAATTTATTGTTTAATTTGCTAGTTTGTTAAATGTTTTTTTACATGATAAAACACAAATTGGTGATTTTTTTGAACAGGTATCTGTTCAGTCAACTAAATTTAAGATTACATAATCATAACGGCTAAAAACTTAACCCAAAATCTAATCTTTGAATAGCTATACCTCGGAAAAAAAATCAAACAATTTTTTGTCATGGAAACTTTTAACTCAGTTGGATGTCTTTTATCACCACCCAAGAGATATTTTCATAATTATATTAAGTTAAGGTTGAATAAAGTCGCATGATTCAAATACAAAACAAAATTTCATTCTCAAAAGACGATCCATTTTTATAGCACTTTAATTTTTAATTATTATTTTTTACAGCAAATGATTAAAAAACCACTTGGTTTTATGCTTTTTGGTAATTGTGTCTTTTCATTTAAAAAAAGTTGACCCTAAGTCCTCGAATAATTAAATTCCTTTAAATATTTTAAAATAATCTTTGACGATGCAGTTAAATCTGCATTAAATCTGCAACTACATAGGTAATAAGGCAAAAACTCACATTTGTACCTTCAGTACACATTCTGTAGAAGATTTTTTGTAATTTAAAAATGCAAGGTTTTTACACTAACATATAAAAACAGTTACAAATTTCGCCTCTCACCTGGCTGCCTAAGATGTCCATGCGGATCCAGACTCGCCTTCGTCATTCCCGTCAACGAATTCGATCCATAGCCTGAAACAAATCCGATAGTCATCTTTTACATGATGCGTGCCATTCTGAAACACAACACTGAAATCCTGTATACGCTCGACTAGCTTTTGTTTCCACGGCTCACTTCAACCGTGTTTGGCGGCCATTCGCGTGGAAACCGACAAGAGAATCCTTTCCGCAGGGTGGCAGTCAGCCACTCTCTTCACCCTCGACTTATTCTAACCTACTCCGAATACAAATATTTCACAAATTCACCTAATGCTATTTCGACGCGAAAACGCGACAATGAAGACATCAAAGAGAAATCACGAGTCCTTTGATCCTGGACGAAAACAACTGAATTGGGTGCGAAAAGTAGTTTTGGCCAAAGTTTAATATAAATACATAATACAAAAGGAAAATGCGTGACGTTTGATAAAAGGGGAGTTAAAATTATCTTAATGTTTTGATTGACATTTTCATTCAGCGATTGCAAATGAAAGCTTGGATTTAATGGAATTCGGGTGTTATCTCGCCGTTTGTGTGGAATGAAAAAATCAAACGACATAGAGGTATGCAGTTGTTATCAATTATTCTTCTGAAGTCTGATTGGGTTCCCGGAACAGGAAAGAGTCCTTCCTTCCCGGACTCCCGGAGCGAATGTCCTTTTCCGATTCCCTGTCCTATCTTCAACACGCTTCGATGCATTCGCTTATTTTCCTTTTAAATCTATTGCTATTAGCTTTTATCGAAAGCCCTTTTCACACTTGCACGGAAAATCACAAAAATAAAAACATAAAAGACTAGGGCCGATTATTGTGACAAATTATCCTTAAATTAATAAATATTTATTGTTTTTCCACTACTAGCCTTAAAAAATACCATTATTTAGTTTGTTGAAACTTTGTAAAGTTGTTTTTCTTTCCTAGTAGTTAATAATCATTTTCATTATGGACCAAAGGCTACAATGGATTGTGGATAAATGCCGATGTTGGAGGGTTGATACAAATATTTCCAAAATATTCTTATTGAAAACTATTACCATCACAAGTACTAACGGAAGTATTTCGAGATGAAATTAATGCAAAATCAAATAAAAAAGACTTAAATTTTTTTATTAAAAACATTAGAATAACTCCAACTCTAATCTTCTGTATATCAGAAACTGTCAAAACAACAAATTTCTTGTTAAAATACTATCGGTAGTGAGCCAGATTTTGACTCTTTTCCCCTTTTCTTTGCAGTTTCATTGTTATTTTAACAAATATTTTATATTATGAAGTTAAAAAATAGTTATTTATTGTAAAAGTGTGTTAGATAGCGTTTTATCCATGCAAGAATGTTTAACCGCGAGAACGTCAGTTCGAGCGGTGAATTTTCTTAAGTGGATAAAACGCGACTAATACACGACTGCAATATAATGTTTCATCCACAATCACAGACCCAAATTATTCCAAACTTAATTAAAAATTAAACTGACATTTAAACGTCACGCCAAATGTGCTTTCGGTTAAACGTAGTAAGTTGTTACGCGGTGCGCTGGTTACTAACAGTGGAATAAAGTTACTTTTTTCCACTAGTGTATAAAGTGATACTTTATACGCATCTAAAGTGTGGAATAAAGTCTCTTTATAGAATGATTGTGGATAAATTCTTTTATTTACAATCACTAATGTAATATGCCGATTACTAACCTTTTAAAGGTTGGGAAACACATCATTAAATATCATGAGGAGTAATAATATTACTTCTCTTGGGCGGTAATATGCAGGATAGCCAACCTTAAAATTACAAAAATACCGAAAATTTTTTCTTTTAAATTGTCAAGTTACGCATAATATTTTGCTAAATTAGTCTTCAATTGCTTTTGTAGCAGTTTCTCTTGCTTTGGGGGAGTACACTGCTCCATTTCGACGATTTAAAATCAGAATCACACATTATTTCAATATTTTCTTTGAGATTTCTGAAATGTCAAAAATCAAACACCATTTGGATGGCCTACCACGTTTGGACTTAACTTTGTTAGAATTTTATTTTACTCAAAGTTTTTACTGAAAATAAAGTGATTGTGAATAAAATAGCATACAAACCTCGGTGGTAATGGCATTACCCCTTGTGCTGGCGCCTCTCGATCGTATACATAAGCACTCGGGGTAATGCCATATTTACCACCTCGCTTGTAATGTACTATTAATAGTTGCAGAAGTACAAAAATGACACAACCTCAATTATGATTAAAACAAGATACTTGATACTTCCAACTTAAGTTAATAACTCAGGTAAGTAATTAATTATTGTAGGTAATAGTGAATTAACAAAAATTGTAGTTGTAAATTACGACATGTTACGTCTAAGGCAACATATCCATTAAGTAGGGTTATATTTTTCACCGTTGTATTTCTGGGTAATAAATGTGCAAGTAGTGAAAAAAATGTTGTGTGAAAATGTTGTATAAAACACGGTAGAGAAGATTTTTATAGCATCGCATTTGTTATTTCCCGAGATGCGTAGCAACTTGGCTATAACAAATCTATTCTCTACCTTGTGATATAATATACTATTAGTGTATCTGTAAAAATAATATTTTTAGTTTTGTAATTTGGGAATTAAATTCGCAACAATAAGTAATATGTAATAACAGATATTAAAGACATGTAATGTGAGATATTCGACATGTTCTTTCCTTTATAATCAATTTCTATTTCCTTCGCCAAAATTTTGTCATCGTGATGTGATTTTCAGGCCATTTATTTTTTGTGTGAAATTCCTCTCATCTCGCCGTCAAACGCAAACTTTAATCTCTAGCTATCATATGCAATATGAGAGAGAAATTCGCTCCTCAGGCGTTTAGTTTGCTATCCAAACTTAATAATGGCAGTCAAAGCCCGAATTGCTGCGAGCCACCGCCAACGTTACGCCCGGGTGCTTGAGATCAGAAGTTTCGTGTGAATTTTGACAACCCGAGGCTAGTGTCACTGACGATTGTCGCCACCTCAAAGTGTGTTTGCTTGTGGTGCACTTGTCGTATCACAAACTGAGTTACTTCCGTTCGAACGCCAAGACATGCTTATTTATGCGAAAGACACAAACTCTAGTGTAGGTTTATCAAAATCTTTATTTTGGGTTAAATTGGATCAAGCGTCCCGGCGCATCCACCATTTTTGTAAAAGAAAAACTATAGGTCACTATAGTTGTATGAGGTATTCTGATTTGTCACATTTATAAATGAGAAACAGATACCTATAAAAAACAAAAAAAATAATACTTTTTTATTATACCTGCATCATAATCCTAAATTAAAACACGCTGCAGCGTTCGTAATTTGGCCTTTATAGCACGCTGAAATTTTAAAGTTGTCTAGGTAACAAGAAATAGTGAAATGTCTGGACCAATTACAACGTGAAAAAATGTGCTTAACAACGTAAACTAGTAACCGTCTCTACGAAAACGATTCACAAACAACCTTTGATAATTTTATTGTGTAAATTCACATTTTTTCAATGCTCATAAAAGATCGTAAATGGGCAGGTATAATAAAAAATAGCGTATAACACTCGTGTATAAGCGCCTTTAAAACACTTACGACGTTAAAAGCACTCCCCTGACGCGTCGTGCTCTTAAACCTGTCGCGCGTGTTTTTAAGGCTTGCTTATAAATTAGTATTATAATATACTATTGGAGGCGGTTTATAAAACCAAAACTCAAAATTTAGAATTGGATTATTTATTAAAAATCTAAGAAATGTTCACAATTATAGTAAGTCATACAGGGTGTTAAAAATATTGTAAAATATTTAAGGAGGTAATAGTATGAACCAAAATAAACAAAAAAGTTTTAATAAATATAGATCCACAAAGTAGGTAACGGTTTTGGAGATATCGAATGTGAAAATTTTTAGAATTCTTAATAGAAGCTTCTCGTTTTTGTTTGAACAGCAGACTGCAAATAAATGTTTCAAAAAACCAATAATCTTTGATTCTTCTGAAACCGTTACTTTGCGAACCCATGTTTATTAAGACTTTTTTTATTGTTTTGGTTCATATTATTCCTGAAATATTTACATTTTTTTAACACCCTATATGTACAGTTACGGAATTAAAATTTTGGGCAGTATTTTTCTGTCACTTCAAAAAGTTCACTGTAAACTACCTTTTACTGTCATCATGACTGACATTTGACAATTAACTTTTCTGTCAATGACGCTATTTTTTTAAGTTAAAATGACATAAACATGACAACAGTAAAAAATGAGGTTATTAATGTAAAGGTTGTTTTAGAGTTTACATTGTGAAAATGACAATACTGCCCGAAATTTTAATTCCGCAACTGTACATACTATAGTAAATCTAAAAATATTTGGAAACAGAGTTAATCACTTTATGAGTATCATCACCTTCTGGTAAACCCAAATGACCTGCTACCAAGCTTAGGTAATCGTCATAAAAGTATTTTAAATAATTCTCTTCTCAATACAATGAAGTACAACATTTTTTCGTGCGGTGTTCGGTTTCGACATAAAAGTACTTGACTCTGTTTTAAAATAATTCTAGATCTGCTACAGTTATGTTGTTTCGTAACTTTTTGAAAGTCGAGAAAGATGTACGTCATTTTCTGTGTTTTGGTTGGGAAATGATTTATGTAAGATTGTCAATGTAATAACAAAGCATCAGTTTTGTTAGAAAAACAAATATTGTTTAAAAATATGTGATTGTGAATAAACTAGTATTCAAACCTCGGTGGGAAATTCAAGAATATTAATTACACTCTTGGACTTTGTCTGGATAACTTCAGCCTTCGGGATAATGCAATATTTCTCCCTTCGGTTGTTATATACTATTAACTAAAAAACGAGTTTTTGAAACATGCGTATTACGTATTTTATAACTTGGCATTGAACAATTTTGAAAAATATTGTACTTAAAAACACGTACATACGATTGCCGTATCTTATTTTTTAGTTATTGAATAAAATTTTTGAGAAAATGTTTTCAGCTCAGTGTGTTGGTTTTCACTAGCTGGAGAGAAAGTTTGGCAAGCTGGCCCATTAGCTCAGTTGGTTAGAGCGTCGTGCTAATAACGCGAAGGTCGCGGGTTCGATCCCCTCATGGGCCATCCTTTTTTTTTTCTTATTATTCATTATTTTATAAAAAAAACTTTAAATCAAAATTCAAATGAAAATTTTAAATATGATTATGAATTTGAAATAAGTATTAAATTTCTATGTCTGATAAACATTTTTGAAATAATGACAGTTAATGGACAATTGTATGACAACAGTCAACTGTTTTCATTTTTTTATTTAATTTTAATTTTTTCTTCTCTTTTGTATTCAAGTAATTCGTGAATTAAGTAAAAAATTGGAAAATTCCAATTTAATCTTGCTATGCTTACTTTGGAATTAAACTCTAAAATAGGTTTAACTAATCTTGCCTTATCGAGTTATAAATATTTCAAAAATTATCAATTTTATCAAAGATTTTTGTGAATGTAAGGCCCATTAGCTCAGTTGGTTAGAGCGTCGTGCTAATAACGCGAAGGTCGCGGGTTCGATCCCCTCATGGGCCACATTTTTTCAAACAAATTGTTTCAGAGAATACTGTAAAGTGAATAGACACTACAAATAATATATTCAAGTATAATATAAAAATATATAAATATTTTGTAACAATTACATCTTTAACTAAATTATGCAAACTAAAATAGATAATAGTTATTTATTGTAAGACCCGTATGCAATACAACTTTTTATCCACAAGCAGACAATATAGACTAAATTAACATTTAAGAAAATTTTTATTTGACGTTTTGAAGTGACGTTTGTTAAATTAATTTTTATTCGGAAGTAAGCAGGGCTAATTACGAGACAGTTGCTATATATTTTTCATAAAACTTATGTGTTTTGTTGATATCATAAGACGTCTCTTAGTAGTGGTACCGTGCGATCAGAAAAAAAAATAAATTAGAGTAGGCGAGGATTAAAGTCCTTCAGATGGCAATCCTGATTTTTGACATCAAATGTCAGCGGAAACTTTGACAAGTTTGCGTTTTATTCATTTTGAGTGAAATAATGTTCACTTTAAAGCAGAAAATTTTTATTGTTGTAAGTTATTACAAAAATGCTGTACAAGACGAAAACGGTGAATGGTCATGTTTACTTTCAGTTTGTGTGGAAAATTTTCAGCCCAAATTCCCAGCCAATGTGTTGCCAACTGTAGCATTTAATCGACGCCTACTCTAATTTTTGTTTTTGATCGTACGGTATTATGACCTAATAATAGACTGGCTGTAGAATAAAAGTAATTATACCTTGATAAACCCCAATTAAAAGATCAATAAGGGTGCCAACCTTGGCTTAGTCAACTTTTTCATATTTTTTTAAGCAAAATTAAAATAAACAACAGTAAGTTACAAAATAGATAAGCGAGGTTTAATTTGTAGGTAACATCAACAATACCTAATAAACATAATCCTAATGGTAATGATAAATAATATAACGTATTAAGAAGAATAATTTCAAAAATTGATATATTGCTTGAACAATTTTGATAATTTTATAGTTTAATTTGGGAACAAATTAATTTACAGTTAAAAATTGTGTGGAATTTTCAAAAAGTGTTTTATATTTATTAGTAGTATGTATTATTTTTGAAACTGCTTTTTTATAAATTATAGAATGATTTTATTTTTTATCGAAAATTGTTAGTGAAAGTTGTTGATAACAGGCCCATTAGCTCAGCTGGTTAGAGCGTCGTGCTAATAACGCGAAGGTCGCGGGTTCGATCCCCTCATGGGCCAGTATATTTTTGTTAATGACAATTAAATTTAACAAATTTGCATTTTTTTTGCTGCAAATGTGATTATTGACGTTATTTGAAAGTGTGAACATGAAAGAAAGAACATAAATGGTAAAACGTCATTTCAATTTGTTTAGTAAAAATCCGAGCTGTCGGTTGTTTCCTCACCGACGGAAGCCACTTGGTGGAGGCTTCTATTAACTGAACGGCAGGAAACCACCCGCGCCTCTCGCTTTCCCGACTCCGGTGGCGAATTTCCTGCCGTGAGTTTCACGCTCTCATTCGACGAGGAAGAACGAAGGCCCCACCGAAATCAACAACGAATTTATGAGATTTTATTTTAGCCGGTGAGGAAATTTCTATTAGCCGATTTGTCGTTTTCGGTTATCTGGTTTATGTCGAGGATTTTCCGTCATTTATTTTTACATTTTTCCGTCGCGGGAATTTTCTATTTCCCGTTCGACGCTTTTCATTATTACCGGTGGATAATGGAATTTCTTTTTGCACCGATTTTTCGATTCAACCCCAAATACAAGCGTAATTAAATCACGAGAATTCAAAACTACAACGCATAAAGAACATACGAAAAATACGGTTTAAATTTAATACGTACACCATAATTAATAAGATAATGCTAAATTTGCAAAAACTAAAGAAGTAGTATATTACAACCCAGTTGGGAAATATGTTACTACCCGGAGGGCTGCTCAAATCTATGGCCGAGGTTAGATAGAGTGAATTCTCACCGAGGTTTGTTGACATTTGATAGACTCGTTAAAGGTTATTAACGAATAATAGCCTACAGAAATTACTTCCCGACTAAGAGACTAAAAGTTAACAAATCGGCATATACTTTATAGTCATTGTAAATAAATGTAATTAATGTAGGGCCAAATTGAATTTTTAGAATCGTCTGCCCAAAACTGAAGGCCAAAATTAAATTGTATAATTATATTTTATCAATTGATAAATATTTAATTATTGTTTTCATTATTTTAGAATAAAACTTATTTTAATTTTTTTAGTATAAAGGGGTACTAAAATCTCTTGTTTTTAGTTAAATTTTTTATCAACGTGAGCTCTGATTTTAAAATGTTGGAAGCAATAATTTACATATACAAACAGAACATATACAACACGTCCCCGGATAGGATAGGTAAAACGACTCTTGTAAAAAATAAAAAAACATTGATTTCAATTTTCATTTTTTGAGGTTTATCCCTTCTTAAGTAAAGATTAATTTCTAACATAATTTTAGTTTTGAAAAATCAAGTATGCTTTGGAAGTTTTCAAAAAACTTGTTTTTTGTAAAGGGTTTTTTATGTGGCAAATACTACAAACACTTATAAAGAAAAGTTATTAAGAATCAACATTTAGGCCTGTATAAGCCATCGGCCAACTATAATTTTTAATTTTTTTCTGAGGTAATTGCTTTTCATTAATAGAAGCGTTAAAAATGTATTTATTACTAATCATTTAAATGTAATTTTATTTATTTGTAATAAAAAACCTGTTAAGAATGTTTTGATTTGTAAATTAATAAACACAAAAAATAAAAAATCTTAGTTGGTCAATGACTTTGAAATTTGATATACGGGCCTAGATGTTGATTCTAAAACTTTTTTTAATAACTTTTTGTCGTATTTGCTACACAAAAACCACTTTACTTTACAGAAAAATATGTTTTTTGAAAATTTCTAAGGCATACTTGATTTTCCAGAATTAAAATTATGTTAGAAATTAGTCTATAACAAAGCAGGGTTGAACTTCAAAAAATGAAAATTTAAATCAAGAGTTTTTATCTTTTACAAGAGTCGTTTCACCTATCCGGGGACACACTGTACATAGCTTGTCAACTTTGAGCAAAAATTTAACTGAAGAAACGAAACAAAAATGGTATTTCACTATTAAAGTAGAGTTCGCGCAACGAAAGATCAACACTATCACATTTAAGAGATGGTAACTTGTCAGTGGTGGAGCTTTACTTTGGATCGAAGGAGCCGTTAGAACAAAATTGTTTTTAAATTAGCTTAATCTTCTTGTGACATTTTTCTTCGTCCTTGAATTGATTGATTGATTTGGTTATAGAATACGGTTTTTAAGGACATAAACTAGGCACTATACTACTTTTTTCTTACAAATACATTTTCCACATTTCTATTTTTCTTTTAAAATTAATTTTCTATATTTGAACGCCCTTTGCTAGTTATTTTGAGGACGTCAATATGTTGATCTTTCTTTGCACGAGCTCTACTCTTAAGTCTTATTTCAGAAAAGAGCTTGTTTGGGTCGATTCTTATTATCATATGTATTTTTATTAATGTTAAAAAATATTTCGAAATCATTAAAAAATACATAGCAGCGAATACATACAAAAAGTGAAAAAACAAGTAACAAACAAATAATTAAAAAATGTTGAAGGTTGAAAAATTAAGGTTTTTCAGTTGCTTCTTACAATTGGTGATCTCACATGAATCGAGTTGTATACAATATTTTATTTATCAGTTTATCACTAAAATATTTCAGTGGCTAAAGTATGACTTTTTCGTTTTGTAGAACCGTATTTTATATCATTTTAATTTATTTATACTCTCACTTAATTACGTTCTAAAATCTTTATAAAATGAGTAAAAAAAAATTACTATAAAAGCAAGTTAAAACATTCTTTTCAGAAAATGCAAAACGGCATGCCTATATTTTGAATATTTTAATAATTGAAATTCGTTTTGTCAAAAATGACGAATGGTGAAATAATTTTATGTACCACCAACATTAAAAAAAATGTTTTAATTAATCAAAATAAACCTACCTTGTGACTGTGACGTCGCATGTGAGCTCCATGATCCCTTGTATGACGTATCTGCAAAAACAATTTTTTCTAAAATTCTCCCTAATTATGAAACTCTCCAAATCATCGCTTTCAGAAATCAAATTACCAGCAAAGAGCATGGAGAAGTTACTAAAAGTAGAGCTTCTACTGAGATAATCGGCCGTCGGTTTAATATCCAACATCGCAATAATAATATTAAATCGGAATCACAAACAAATTCAAAAAACCTTAATCATCGTTTTCCCTCATTTGCATAACTCAATATTTCACCACGCACACCATTTGTTATCACTGTTGGAGAATGATATAATTGCACCGCTTTTAAGTTTTATTATTGCCACCGTCGAAAGTAATTTACACGCGGACGTTTAGAGTAATCTGTCAAGTTGCCCGAATATGAAGCACATTTATGATCAACTGTGAACTTTTTCACTGTATTTTCACGCCGAGCTTTTGAATAGGTGGAGCTAGGGGTTGAATGGCGGCCAATCAGAAGAACCAGATACGAATGGCTTGTTGCGTCATAAATAAATCCCTCCTTCCCTTGTGAACTGATTTAGAGGGGATGAATCTCTTCCTGACAATACGTTTGCTTTTATTGTCTCCAACCTATCTATGAGTTTTTACCTAGATTTCCTTTTTTAGATTACCTTACAACGCTTTTCATATTCATTATTGTTAAACTTATTTCGGACAAGCACCGGAAAACAACGAAAAAGAGGAAAATTGCAAACACTAGATTTGTTTAGCACTTAAAAGGTGAATAAGTCGGTATTTTAAGTTTTATTGAATAATAATAATTGTTTTGCATTAAATTTTAATAAAAAAATACTAAAGAGTTTCTTCTTCTTATGATTATTATTTATTCAAATCTAATCATATTTTGTTAAAAATATTTTTGAGTTGTTTTATTCTGCCCTATAATCTGCAAAAATGCACTGTGTATTTAAAAAAAAAGAACATATTTGATATAATAATCCAATTAAAAAGCTCTTTGTTATTACTTCTAATATTGCAATTAACACAAACCAGTAATTTTTTCCCAAAAATACATAGTAAGGAGTAGATGGCGTTTACATTTTATTCTAATTAAAAGAACAAAAAAATCAGAATCATGTACCTATTAGGATTAAGGGAAAATATGAGTAATTTATTCCTATTAGAAATATTTGTTGGATTTATAAAGCTTGTGGGTTATTTTGCCTTCTTAAATTACTTAAAAACAAATTAATTAACTTAAACTGGATTAAATGTTTATCAACTTCGAACAAGAACTTGTCCAAAATAATTTAAAATACATAGCTGAAAATTACAATTTTATCACAATTTTTTATTTACTATACAGGGTGTTTAAGAACTTGCGCCCTGGAGAAAAATGCCAAGTAAGATAAAAATAACAGGAACACGAGAAAAATGTAAATAAATTTTATCTGTCAAAAGATTTTGACATTTATTTTTTGACATTTGACCTTTTTTTATCTATTATTTAATGCTATTGATTAGACTCTATTCGATTGTTTACTACGTTTGTTCCCAAAACAGTAAGTTGTATTTACTTTGGCGTTCTAGAAATTGCAGAATAATAAAATTACAAAAGTTGATACAGCTAATAAACCCCTGAACACATTCAAAGATCAGTTGTCAAAATTTTTAATCACGGGCGTCTTAAACAGTAAAACAAATTTAATTTTTAATTTTCATCCGTTTTATGGTCTGTAAGACAAATTGTAAACTGATTTTACTCAAAACCACTAAGTTGTATCGAAAAAACCCAAGAAACTTCTTTTTGGGAAAAACAATGAAATTGAGAATTTTGTGGCTGAAAGTGACAATAGCCAAAATAGTATGGGTACTTTTTCCCTAAACCCCTCAGTTTGGGACGCTTCTCAGTAAAAATTTCGACATTATATCTTTAAATTCATTTGGATGTATAAAGGTTATCATAAGTTGAACCAAATTTTGTAGTTTTATCTACAATGGTTTCTGAAATATTAGAAAAAACCTAAAAGATGCACTTCTTTCAGGGGATGTAGCTCTCTTACATAAATTCCTTCGATACATGTTCATAGGAAACTTTTACCTTAAAATTAAATATATTTTTAACAATAAAAAAAGAATACCTGTGTAGTGTTGATCCAGTTCGTAATTTTATGTGAATTGTGAATCATGCTGTAGGTGCTGTAGATACAATTCTGTATAAGCTTTGTTTTAACTAAATAGGTATTAAATGCTCTAATTTATTTAAAATTTAAATTTTAATTAAAAAAAAAACATTTGTTTAACATTAACAACAACAACAATCTAATACGGTTTATTTTGTTAAAACTAAAACTGTAAGTTAACACAGACTGTCCCAGAAATAAGTGACTGAAAAATAATCTTATCAAAATCTAGAGGCAGCAAACTCTGATCAGATAGAATAAAGCACCAAAAATCAGTTTTTGAATTCTTTTTTTGTCGAGAAATAATTTCTTCCCACTGGGAAGTGAATTTTCTATTGTTATTATATGTTTTTTATTACCATATACTTACGCATAATTAAGCACATTTCTACAGTAATTATTCGTATTTATTATAAAAAACAAGGTTTCTGTTACTATTTTTTTTAATTCTAAAATAGTTATTTGTACAACTAGTTTTGAAAGTCATACTTTTTTTCATGAACTTGGGGAGAGCCCTCGTTAATTAAGCAAATAAGTGAAAGAAAGGACTTTCAAAACGAGTTGTACACAACATTTTTTTGCATTGTGATAATCCCAAGAATCCCAAAGACCAAAAAGATATCAGTTTGATAAATCAAATATAGTATAGAAATAACTATAGAAATATAACTATAGAAATCGTTTAAAATTTAAAATTAATTAATTAATTTTAAAATTCTATACGATTAATCGTGATAAAAATTCAACTTTCATAATCACTATGCAAAAAAATTTGTTTTAAACATTTTGAGTTTTCGCGCATTGGTGATGACGTTGAAACTATGAAATTATCGAGGTTTCTCAAGATTGTAACAAAATTAAATGTTTCTTTTAGTTCCGTAAAAACTTGTTACAGAATCTGTTACGATTTCTAAAGCTAAGAATTTAGATAAACTTATAGTAATTTTGCTTAAGCAATGGATGAAAATATTGGTAATTGGCTCAACAATAAGCAAGTAACTGAACTAAAATTAAAAATTTTAGTTTTTTTGTTTACTCAGAAATAAGGCTTCCGAAAATATTTAATGTTTTTTTTTCGTTAGAGTTTTAGCAAAATCGTGTCATTTTCGGGACTCTGGCTCATAATGAAGCATTTAAAATTCGTCCGTAACCTCCATTGCAATAATCTTATCAAAAGAACGATTCTTTTCCTGAAATTATAGCCGAGAGTGAAAGCTTTGTTTCCATTTATCAAACACAATACATTATAAAACCAACTTCTTCCCTGTTTGCGAGTGCTTTTGGAAACAAAACCGAGAGAGAAACTTCAATAATTCCATGATGATGATGGAGGTGGAGGAGGTAAAGCGGTGTAAAGGTAATTTGGCGAAAGCTTGTCTTGTCGGCGGCGCGGCGGCGAGCGATAAGTCACGCCGTTAGTACCGAAAGCTCCGCTACGGTGGCGCTGCATACCGGAAGTGTAGCCATAGCAACCCGGCAGCCACATCGATTGCCGCCGCCGGCTGCCGTTCCGTGCTAACTGAAATTATGTGCTGAGAATCACTCCAAGGCGATGCTATCGGAACAGAGGACATGACTCCAAAAGTTATATTTCGGACGATTGCCGACTCGACGAATTAATACATTACACTTTTTTGCATAATTCTTATTCAGGTAGGCGGAAATGATTAAGTGGTAAATCGCGACATAATCGGCATGTTTATTTGCAACCAGTAATTAATTTTCATATGTGTCAAAAACTCTTAAGAAAGATTTATGTTATATACAAATTATAACTTTGGTTCGTGATTGGTCACACTGATTTACTTCACAATTAACTAAATTTAATAATCATTAATTATTTTGCAATGAATGATAGTTACTTAAGTAACAAAATTTAGGTAGACAAAATTAAAATAAATTTTGTTTTATATCTACTTTTAAAAAACTACATTGCAATACATTTGTGACAGATGATAACTCGCTTGACAAATACAGGGTGAAAAAATATAAATTAAAAATGTGACGTTTTTTATTTTTACCATTATAAATCAAATGGCGTGTTTTAAGACTGGTACCAAAAATTATGCTTGTTAGAAAAATCAAATTCGGCTAGTGATAATTTATAAGACATTGTGTAAATATGTATCAGATCAAGTAGTCTTTGACCGAAATTAGACTGGCAACATAATAATGTAGAGTCAGAAAATGAGATATATCAATTTTCATATCATGTTTTGTAATGTTGCCAACTTAACTTCAAAGGTACAGACTATTTTTATCAAAAAAATAATTATTATACGAGTACAGGGCACATAAAAAGTTTTGCACCAACTCATTAAAAGGTGATAGAGAGAAATACTTACATATGCATAAAAATGAAGATTCACTTGTACAGGGGACTGCATTTTGGATGTCCGAATAGGGAATCTCCAAAACTAAGAGGTTTAGTTTAGTTTAGTTTATAATATTGGTTAAAGTCGCATCCAGCTATCGTCTTTTGTTTTCGACTTATAGGCAATAATTGACATTTTAGCGAAATCTAAAAAAAAATCATATCTTCGTTATTATAGAAGACACAGATTTGGAATAAAGACATTATACACGCATTTTTTACGTAGAATTTAATAATGTAGTTAACATTTTTTTTTAGTTGTTTGTTTAGCCGTAATAAAATAAACTTTTATTTTTTTAAATGGGAATCATAGTTGGCTATGTCATTTTTAAAAAGCTTGTTTTTTTCTTATCTAAAAAATATATATTTGTAACAAATTATTATAATACATTTTTAGTAAAAAATTATCTTTGATTTTTGTTCGCAGTTGGCTATGAAAAAATGTTGCATCTTCAACTAAAAGGATTTAAAATATATTATTCAACCAGTGTCAC